GCTGCACGGTTGCTTTTTGACGCCGCCCAAGCCCATGGATTGGCGCCCTTGCGGGGGCTTGTCAAAGATCTCACGCAAACTTTGCCCAGCGCGCTTTGTGCCACTGGGTTGCTTTGTGTACTCACTCTGCAAAACTGAATCACGATCCAATCGCCGAGCTGATTGCAGAAAAACACACAAGTCTGTGCAGCCATGAAGGAACACGCTGCCTGGAGAAGGCGTGTCTCCATTGTGACATGTCCATTTGCTTCCAGGCCACCTCGCAAGCTTCTCAAAGGCTTGCTTCAGCGAAGGGAGCTCACGGGCAAACCGCGCTGACATCACAAAGCTCTTTGTCTCTGTGAGCACACTTTTGTGGTGCAGCACATCAGGGCCAGGCCGCCGCAGGTCCATGCGCGAAAATTGCGCCTTGCTCACCACAGTCGCCCCAAGAGCAACAATGCCCAAAGCCAAGCAAAGGGTGCCAGGCGACGGCGCCTGATGCCTGGAAAGGAGCACGCTGCTCAAATCATCCACCACCACATAGTCTGCCTTGCCAATTGCCTCTAAACTTGCAGCTGCGGGACGTGAAATATCCAAAACATCGCCCTTCCGGGCTGGTTCTGCACACATGTCAACCACCCGAAGCCGGCGGCGATCCATCACCACAGGTGGCTTTGGAGAACTTGCGGAGAAGATGTGGCCAAGTCGTAACTGGGGCAGTGCTGCCGGGGCATGAAGTTTGGCTTGCTTAGCCACCGTGTTGGAAAGGAAAGCCCTGAACTTCTTTGTCTGCTGGTTGCGACGGAGACCATCAGGCGGCCACAGTTTGCCCAAGGAGGAGCCCAGGACAGAAGGCTGGGCTTTGTGCTCCTTGTGGCTCTTTGGCTTGCATGCCAGCAACGCCTTCACACTGTCAGACCTCGCGGCCACTACACTTGCCCTGCTTCCAGCACGTGGACCTCGCTGAAGGCCTTTGTCAGACCGCTGCTTGTAGATGCAGAATCTGCGCCCATGAAACTTCAACCACATCTTTGCGAAGAGCCGGCTCCATTCCGTTGACCCGCACCCACCATCCTCGTTGCAATGCTGGGCCACCTCTTGGACGGCAGCTGGGCCACCCAGGCGGACCGTGAGGAGCTGGTCAAGCGTGCATCCATTCTCCAGCAACGGGCCCATATGCGTCTCGATGAGCTTGGCCATCTGACCCACAGATCGCTCCACGTCTGCAGTTGTGTGCTCCACTGAAATGTACCAGCACACAAGCGGGAAGATAAACTTGTTTGTCAGACGTGATGTGGTCAGGCCAGGCAGCGCTCCCCACAAAGAGCGGTTGTCAGGCTCTTCGGCGCTTGGCGTCTGCTGTATCTTCCTGCAGGTGATACATGCACACACACACAAACACATGCACATGCTCAACTCAAAAAGCAGCACCCCGAAACAAATAAAACCAGAAGCAAATATAAAGTGATGATTCACCTGGCCTCCACTGGTCAACAAGCAACATAGCGCAGGAGCTGAACTCCTCTTGCAAAGCCTGTCTGTCAGACGGCTCTTGAATGAGCGTGGCAAGGGGCCATTGCTTCGCGAGGCGGGCAGCCTTCTTCTTCAGGGAGTCCTGAAGCTGCCGTGACTCATCCGGCAATCCTTGCTCTGCAAGGCAAACAGATTTGTTCCACAAGCCAATGTCAAAGGCTGCAAAGTCCAGTCTCAAGGAGTTGTCAGAAAATTCAGCTCGTATTCTGGCCTTGGCAAGGCCATGGTGACTTGGATGGCTGGGGATATGGAAGGCAACATAACATGACAGAAAAGAAAGTCTAGCTCCAACTTGCAGCAACAACAACAGGCTGCAACAGCACATGCAGGCAACACCTTCTACTTGTTGTGGTGGAAATAAATGGCTCTGCGCAAAAAACCAAGCCAGATTTTGTCAGGCGTCCAAGCAATCCAACAAAACCACGCCTTTTTAACAGTTGAGTGAGGCGTTATGTGATGTAGTAATGTCTTGCAGGTGCAACTTCAACACAATATTCAAAAGCACAACAACACTATGCTTCAAGGAATACAATGACAAGTAGCACGTGACGCTTTGCTGGCCCGCTGAATGGCGCTCCAGGCCAGTTGGACCTCTCGTGGAGCATCCGCCCCCCACAGATGTTTAATCTTGTCCTCAAACTGAATAGCAGGTGTATCCCGGCACACTCTCAACGCAGTTGCGCAAAAGGACTGGTTGGCAGTGTCTGCCATGCGTGCCATGATCTGGCCATCCTCATAGAGGTCCCTCGCTCTGCCAAGCCATGTGTCACGCAGGCGACGAGTGACAGCTATGTCTGCATCTGTTTTTTCGAAGCTCTTCAAAAAGGCCCCAGCGTCGGTGGCCCAATCGGCGAGAAGTCCCGCTGTCGCTGCCTGCCTGGGCCCCATTTTGCTAAGCAGCTGGCGGGCCCGCTTCCGCTGCGAGGAGCTCAGTCTCACGTCAGACAGCCTATTGGCCAGAAGAAGGGCGATGCTTCCCTGAAGGAACACATAGTTCTGAGCTGGCACTATCGCTGATTCCCAGCGCTGAGGAGCCCACGACATGTGCCGCAAAAGCGTGGTCAGGCCGGCGCCTTGCTCTCCGTCACGATCCAAAATCGGCTCATGACAGAAAAAAGAAAACTGCACAAAGCCCAAGCTCCTACATGTGCGACTTCAAAATCCATCTCAAGCAGTGTCAGACTAAGATTTCCTGTCAGCATCTTGGTGTGTGTGTGTGTCAGACGTGTGTCAGACGTGTGTCAAACGGGCCCTCAACCGGTCAAAAAGAAAGAGGCAGCTTTCCTGACGCAGTCTTGCGGCTGACAGGCCTGAAGCTCATAGCGCACCTTGTGGCTGTTCTGGATGAACGGGATCAAGGCATCTCCGCCGCTGAACACCTCTGCCCATGCCGCCAGGCAAGAAAAATAACAAGTGTTCCACACTGTTGTAGGGATTGGGAAACAAACGTTAAGTGCTACCAAACTCATTGAAGAAAACAGGCTACAATGTCAGCCAGCTGCGTCAGACCAAAACTCCATGAAGTCAGCCTCATGCTGGACTGGTTGCCCAGTTGCGATTCTGATGGTGTGGCATGGGTCCGTGCCCGTCAATCTCACCGACCCAAGACTTTCCTTCAGGAACTCAAGGCCCTTGACCATACTGCGGCAACCATCCGAAAAGATCGACATGATGCGGTGCCTGGCCCTGTCATACCTGAGTCAGTAGCATGCAACACCGAGCAAACAAAGTAGCAACAAAAAGGTGGGCTATTGTCACCATGATGCAACTCCCTGTCAAACTCAGAGTCCCGTGGTGTGCAAACGTCGGAAAGCAGGGCTGCCACAGTCTGGCACAGCTTGACACCATAGTCCTCCTCAAGACCCTCGAGCTCGCCACTGCGCAGGGGCACCTCAGCCGGCAAAGCAACTTCTAAAGAATGACACCGTTCATGACAACTGTTTCGCTGCAAAGCAAATCAAGTGAACTCAAACCAGAGCACCACACCAAGCAGGCCCCGCTTTGGCTTCACCTCCTGACCCATCAGGATGGATGCCTTGTAGCGAACAAGCCTCCAGGGCTCCTTGTCGTCCACTTGGATGGACAAAGCGGTTGCCTGGCGGAGGGTGTCTCGTGTGCGCTCCCGTGCAGCTTCCGCCATGCACGCCGTCATCTTGCGAATAGTGCGATGGTCAGGCGCTTTTGTTCGCTTTGACACTCCGGGCGCTTGAAGGTGCAGCTCGGTGTTCAAGGCCACCTCCTGACATGAACTGTCAAGAATCACAAAATGGAAAAAAAACAATGAAGTGTAGCTGTCGCACATCTTCACAACTGAACCCTGCAAAGATCAAAGATTGTCGTGCAACGCGTCAGACATGGCTCTGATTGTCGGAACGAACAGGTCAGGTGGGTCCAAATCCTTGCCCAGTCTTGGACTTGAGGAACTGCCCCAAAGAACAGGTCAGGCTCGGAGGTGTCAGACGACTGCAATCGGCTCACAGGAACGTCTGGAGCTAGCCAGCTGTCAGTGGCCAGGCGGTGCAGAGCCGACTGACGGTGCAGAACAAACGCGCAGCTCTGCATTGAGGCAAGCCCTCTCCTAACAAATCATGAAGGGCCAAGCAAGTATCAAGGCACAGTCACAGCTGACAAAGTGTCCAGATGACATGACATTTTTCATGCAACCAAGAAGCACCTCAAATCTGCCCCATTTTGTGGAGCACCTTCGTCTCTTAGAAGTCGTCACACCACCACGGGTGAGAAGGCTGGCGCAAATAGTGCACCCAATTCCCCATGGCCTTGATGGGCAGCGCTGCTCAGCCAGCCAAACAGTGGCAACTGGCTGGCCCTGCCGGGTGTGCTTGTGGGTGCCATACCTGAAAAAGCAGCACAAACAGCATAGCAACATCAGACCTTCTGTCAATGACTGCTACAATTCTGCCATAATTATGTGTGCGTGCAAGGCGCTTCTTCACCCATGTGTCTTTGAAGCGGTCCCATCTCTTCTTTGCGTTCACCCAGTCCTCGCTGTCATCTGTCAGGCGCTTTGAAGTCTTGACAGAGGAGGAGGACGAGTGAATCTGACACACTTTGCTCTGGCCAGAGCTATTCAGCCATCTCCGCTTTGTTGGGGGAGCTGGTAGTGTGCGTCCAGGCTGCCGTTTGCGCTTGCAACTGCTGGCGTGGCTACGTGTGTGAGCCTGACTCAGTTTGGACCCCTGACTGTGCACCAGCAAATCCTTGAACGGCATGCGGCCCCACCATCAAGGCGTGCACTAAACTACATCTTGGACACAAGAAGCTGCATGACAATTCTAGGCAGGTGGCGCCATGCTTTGACAACTGCTTGCAAACAAAAAGCTGCCTGCCAAAAAAACACGAAGCAATGACCTACTTTTGACCGCACCTCATCATCAGCTGGGCTCAACTGGCACAACTGTCTGCAAGACTACCAGCACCAACTGCTATCACATGGTCTACTCTCTCAGTGAGCGGGCAAGATTCGGCTAGGCTGCCTCATTTTTGCCGTCCTCATCCTCCACAGGATCGGCTGTCTTCTTGTCCCCCTCCTCCTCCTCCGAGTCAGATTGCTCCGTCAGGCGCCCAGCAAAGTGAGTCTGAACCTCATTGGCAAGCTCGTTCTCCTCAGCAGCCACCACCTTAAGCATGGCGTTGTCACAGTACGCAGACAACCACTTTGAGTGAACAGTTGCTGTGCTGATGCCATGATATTTCACCTGGGCATCCAGAGCCGCGTGCGCTAGCTGTGTGCTTGCTGTCATGTCCAAGATTGCACCTGCACGGGTGCCCTCCACAACCGATGCCCAAAAGCTTGTGGACTTGCTCTCCTGCCAAAAGCAGGGCACGCCATGCTCATTGTCCCAGTCAGGCGGTGTGGCAGCCTTGCTGGCTTTGCTGCCTGCTTTGTTTGTCAGCCAATTGGTCTTGTCCGTCAGGCTCATGAGCGGGAGCTTCTTCTTGTTGGGCAAAGAGGCCATATTCTCCCACTCAAGGTCCTCGACTGCGTCGTTGCAGTTGTACTTCAGGAAGCCATGCTCACTTGTGCAACGCATCTTCTTCGACGCAGGTCCAAGCTCTGCTGTGACATCCGAGGCGCCTTGGCACAACAAACGCTTGCCGTCCCAACTTCGGTCAAAAGAAAAGGAATTCAGAATCATGCCCTGACTGTTTACACCAAGTGGCCCGAAGGTGCCTCCAAGACTCTCACCAGCTCAAGGGTGTCCCTCCCCAGGCTATCCTCCATGTGTCTCCGAGCCTCACGGCACCGACCGTCAAAGACAAGCAGCAGGTCACCCTTGCCATTGAACTCCTTCTTGCAGAAGTCTAAGCAAACCCCAATGCGCTCCATCCGGTCTTTGTCAGTCGTGTGCGACCAGCCATCCAGGGGCTCAGACACCAAGTCAGCCGAGACAACGACAAGCAAGTGGCTCTCTCCGATCTTCGGCTTGAAGGACTTCCTGATCGGGCTCGTCGCGAACGTGGCCTTCAACTTGGTGGCCAGTTTGGCCCCTTCCTCTGGCAAAGCTGTAATTGTGCACAATGCCTTTCTCTTGTTGACAACCTGCTGCCATACATTGGCGGCAGTCTTGCTGTCAGAGTCAGACACTGTGATCTTCTCCACCAGGGTCATCTGGAGTTTCCCACTGTCAGACCTTGGTGGGCAGCATGTGCACACACACAAATACGTGTAAAGTGGCGAGAGGTATTGCAGGTTTCTGGCGGGCAAGCAACAGAGGGTCACCAACCGAGACACTGTCGTGCGCTGGGGCACGGGCATGATGACGCTTGTGGGCCGTTCCATGGATTTCACCCACTTGCTGACCTCCTTGCCCAAGGCGGTGGTCAGGCCATTGCCGTTCATGATCTGCTTCCCGATGTCTGACAGGCTGCTGGAACTGCTCTCTTCTAGCAAGCTCTTCAAGTCCGCGTCAAAGGTGCAGTCCATCAGCTGAACGCAAAGTTCACAGTATGCGACCACCTGTGGTGTGTTGTCAGCGCTGGCAGCGCTGGCAACAGCGGCAAGCACACTAGCCACAGGGTCGTCCTCACTCTGCATAAGATTGAACATCTCCATGGGCTTAATGTAGATCTCGGCAATCTTCTTGATCTGCAGCGATGTTGCTTTGTCATCGTGCATTGATGCCAGCACTGCACCAAACAGGACAACTGTCAACTTGGCAATGACTACTTTGAAGAAGTGGCTCTCCAGGAACGCTACCGAGAAGTCCTGGATGTCCGCCAAGTTGTTCCTGCCCAGCAAGAAGCGTGTGATGCCGGCAAAGTACTGGAGAAGATCACGGGCCTTGAACGTATCCATGCCAAGCTGAGAAGCAAGGTCAGACACGGCGCTTTCATTGGACAGCTTCTTGGCTTGCTTGAACATCTCTTTCAGCTTCATGTGAGAGCCAGTGATGTCCTGTCCATTGCCACAAACATAAATAACCTAAGCGTGGAACACATGCCATGATCATGACATGTTGTGACAGCAATGTTCTCTCACAGCCATGATATCTCAAAGCCCTGCCTTCTGCCCTTTCTCTCTCGCTTTCATGCAGTGCTCCCTCTCAAGCAGCCAGAACTCTTTGAAGATAGATGGCTCCGAGAGACACAGTTCCTGTGCCAGGCAGAGACACTCCACCACTGCCTTCGGGGCCGGCTTTCCTCCATACTCCAGGCCAGCGCATGTCTTTGTAGTTGCTGTCTTGTCAGACATGACAACCAAGCTGTGCTTCAGCCAAGTCAAAAAGCTAGGCGCCAAATGAGCCAGGCTGCTCTGCTGGCTTGCAGCATTCATCTGCAGCAAGGCTGCTTTGCGTGGATTGTCAACCAGGTGCAGCTGTAGGGTCACTGTGAGCGCTGCCTCAACCAACCGCACCAGAACATCGCCCTTCGCCTCCTCCAGTGCCCGGGCCGTGGCTAAGAACCAGCCCTGCATGGCCCCGTGGCCAAACAGCAGCTGAATGTCCTGATGTTTTGACGCCTTTGCTGCGGAAGCCACCTGACCCAGAAAAACAACTGGTGCTAGCAACCGATCTGCGTGTCCACCTTTGGTAGCAAACCACAAATTTGCCCACGCATCGATCTCCGCAAACGACAAGCTGGTGTCATCACTGGCATTGGCATTCGTGGATCCCGACAAGAGCCAGAACATTGAGGCGCCAGATTCATAAAGCCCTTCATGGGTCAAAGACATGACCGCATGTGTGTCGTCGAACATCTCTTTGTAGCCTCGAGTCACTTTGGAAGCCTTCTGGGCTTGCTTTGTCGCCTTCTCCGGTTTGTCTGCTTTGTCAGGCTTGTTGTCAGTCTTGTCGGACTTGTCAGGCGTGTCATGCAGTTGCAATGGGCTCAGCTGCGCCAAGGTCTTCAAGTCGTCCTTTCCCTCATGCAAGGTTGCCAAAAGCTTCTGCTTGCGTAAGAAGGTCAGCAAATTGAGCTGCACCTGAATTCAAGGACATGACGGATGAAAAGGAACAAAAAGACACAAGAGGATTCCACACTGCTGCTGGAAAGATGGCCTTCCAATTGCGGCCCAGTTGCCCACTTCTCTTGCTCAGCAATGGCCTTGCCAGCAGGCTTGCGCCAGTCCTCCTCTGCAGGCTCCGACGGCCTTGAAGGCATGCTGGTCATTCCTGTTGCAAGTCTACTACCCTGTGAGATCGAATCTGCAGAAGGCTGTTTTTGCAATGCAAATGTGCCTACATGCATTCACAAGCAATCAAGAAACCAGCACAAGACCAGTATTTTCTTTCTCTCGCTCACCTCAGCGTAGGAAAAAACACGGGGCAACCGCATCCAGCGGTTGCCAGCCGGACACACCTTCTGTTCATTGTCCATGTTCGGCATCCAGTCTTTTTCCATGACCTCCAAGCTGAGGTCCGTCAGACAGCCTTGGGCACCGTCAAAGCAAATTGATGCCCCTGCGTCTGCGTGTATCATGGCAAAGCTGTGAAAGGAAGGCTCGCAGTCAGACGCCCTGGAAATAGTGTGTCTGACATCAGCTGGTTTATCCGGGGTTTAGCCTTTGTCAGTGGCTACTGAGGAAACCTTTCATCTACAAAATATGGGAAGTATAATACAAACGATGCCTTTTTCTTAGCGTTTATCTTCTTAAAACGTTTGGTTCATTATGTTTCATGTAGCTTGTGTCTTATTTGTTTTCCTATCTTTGCAGGTTTAGTAGGCCGTTCACCCCCGGCACCAACCGGATTTTGTTTGGCGCAGGAATCTCACTTGAGAAAGAGACCATGCTGTCGAAGTGTGGTAGCCTAGCGGCTACCATGTATACTTCTTCAGCAACAGCACATCGCCATTACTATCATACGTCAATTTCATAGTGACATGTGTCACGAGCGCAAAAAAAGAACCAGGCAACATCATTGCATTCTTTGAACTAGTCGTGAGTTCTTGTTTCGATTCTCGTCACTCATCAGTTTGCGGGAAGCTTGGGCATTTCTCCCATTTCATCTTGCTTGGAGGACAACGGCCGGGCAGCTACATGCTGCTCCAGTATTCTCACGTGAGCCGCCATCAGTGTGACTCGCATCATGAAAATAAGCCAATATTATAAGTATTGTTGCGCTCGCTGAAGTGATGCATTGAGGCTCAGAACGTTTCGTCAACCCGTGGGAAGCTTGCACATGTGTTTTGCAGCTTCCAGAAAGCCAGCTACACACAACAAGCTGGCTTGGTACATGGTGGCCCCTGGCGTTACCAAACTACGTTGCATGAAATTATAGCCAGTGTCAAATTCAAACTTGGCTGCCGTCAGCACCGACACAGACTCATCTTCTACAGGCTCAGCTTGGCAACTTTGTTCACCAGTCAACCTCCGTTGGCCCTACCTGACTTTTGAAATAAAGCTGTCTGTTTGCGAACCATTTGCGCTGCCAATGATTCGATAGCTTCACAAAACTGCGGCACACAGTTCAAGGCTGTCACCTGTGGCAAGGTGCGCCATGATGCTTCAAGGTGCCAGCAGGAAACACGCACTGTTTTGCCTCCTTGCCAGCCCCATGACAAGAAACTCTGCTTCAAGACAACATGTTGTTGCCTTCACCCCTTCTACTTGCATGTGCAAGTCACCCTTTGTCAATCGCTTGTCAGTCGATGTCAGTCGTCTGTGTCAGGCATGTCGGCCTCGTCGTCACTGCTCTCATCCTCAAGGACACACTCAGATGTGACATCCTTCCACAGGCCTGGACGCCCCTGCACATGCCGGTGGGCAGAGTCATCCAGCATCTTGTCCATCCATTCCTTCGCCTTGAGTGTGCCAACGAAGCCATGATATCGTGTGTTTGTGGCCATGCAGGCCAACGGCATCATGGTGGTGGCCGCAAGGTCAATGACTGCTGTCACATGAAGACCATTCAGCACCTCCTGCCAATACTCGAAGCTTTTGCACTCACGCCAGTGGAGTGGAACACCTGGCGCTCGCCATCTGTCAGGCGCCATCATCTTTGGGGTTTTCGGCCAAGCCATGACTCCTGCTTTGGCGTCGTAATCCACAAGGGGCAGGCCAGCAGCGTAAGATCTCTGTTTTTTTTCTTGCAAAGATCGAAATGTTGCATGCAAGCTCCTCTTTTTGATGCCCTTCAAGGAAGACAACAAGTAGGCATGTTCCACAGCATGGCCTCTTTTGTTCTTGTAGATGTTGCATGACTCGAAACTCATTGGAAGTTTCTGCTCCACGCAGCATCGGTAGCTCCTGGAAAGCCCGTCAAATACAAGACCTGTTGTTCCGGGCCGTGAGCAGACCTGATCTTGCATGAATTGCAAAAGCTTTGCCACATGCTGCGATTGAGGTCGTGCAGCAGCAGGCGCCCGCTTCCATGGCATTTTGGCCTTCTCACAAACTGCGTCGCAAGAGAGAACAATCAGGAGAGTCTCTGATGAGCTGACTGGCGAGTCTTGAAGTTCCCTTGTTATGCTGGAGACATTCAAGCGCGCTGGCGAAGGAACCACACTGACATGAAGCCGCTCGAGCCTCCACCTCCTTGAGCCCTCCTTGGTAACACTTGAGTCCTCGCTGGCTAAATCACGGCACGCGTCTGCGTGGAAGCACATGTTCTTCTCCGGGCTACCTGTTGATGAACCTTTTGCACCATCCGAAGCACTGCTCACTGATGTCAAGAACTTGTCACACAGTATGGAGAGCCGAAGGCCCTGCGCAGCAGCTGGCAGCTCAGCAGCTGTAAACAAACTGCCCAACATAGTGTCGTCGAAGTGGGCAAGGTCTTGAGACAAAGCACCACCCAGGCACAGCATGAGCAGCTGTGCAAATTGGTGTTTCACTTCCGCAAACCGACCATTGCCTGGCTGAACCAACCCAGAGTTGTTCAGCAAATGGAGCAAACACTTCTCGATCTTGGTGGTCCTCAACTCAGGCGAACTGGTGTCAGTGTCTGTGTTCAAGGCCTCGCCCTTCTCGCCTGAATCTTGCAGGGATGTCTGCCTTCCTGCTGTCAAAAGCTTTCCACAAAAGAAGCTCTGCATGCGCATGGGTTGCTTGAACAACACCAGAACTTGTGACAACTCAGCTTGAAGGTCAGCGTCAGGCGAGCTGGCAATCAATCTCTCAGCGAGAATGAGGATTTGCAGGCACACACACATAGTGTTCCCCCAAGTACCTTTCCTTGCAACTCGCATGCACATGTTTGTAACTTGGCCCGCTCGCTTCAAGCCAATATGCAAATGAAAGGACAGGGCTTCCAATATGAAGGTCATAATGCGGGATGCCGGAAGCAAAGCAGTCGCCATCTGGTTGCAACCGTGCATGAGTCTTCGTAGCTTCTCAGTCTGAAAGGACAAGAGTTGTCTGCCATGGGTCCTTTCCAAGGCCAGAAAAACCTGCCGCACATCTGCATTGAATAGGTCCAGAGCCATGTTGATCCCCTGCAGCAGTGTCAGATTGAGGGGGCGGCCATCTAAAAAGCAGATTTGCTTCTCCTTCAAGACTGCCAGAGTGTTCCCTGCACTCCCTTGTCTGACAGTCCTGGCTAGCACAATACGAAAATTTTCCAGCCAGCATACATATGAGGAATCTAGGCTTCGAAGCACACTGCACGATGAAACTGCTCTCAGCGCCAAGGCAGATTGAAAGCCTTGCCCATGCGGGTCATCTGCTGTCACATGGCCTGCAGTGGGCCAATGCACGCACGATGACAATTGGCACAGCGCCACTGGTGCATGGCACATCAGCAAGGCAAGGTTTTTGTTTAAGCCCCGCACACACATGAATGCGCACTGTTGCCGAGCGAGCCATGCGAAGGACGGACTCCAACTTCTCAAGAGCATTGCCACCTTAGTTTCCATCGGAATGAGCACCAAACCAAAGAACATTGTACTGCACTGCCAGTCAGACAAACGGCTTGAAGCATGTTCTCGTGCAAGAGCAGCAATCTTTATGTACATGGAAGCCAGACAGGCATGGCCATGTAGAAGCTCACACCCAAGAGGATACTGCTCTGATAAATTTGGAGCCTCATCTGGACAAACACCCACAACCAAGACTTGGGGAAAGAGCGCCCCTGCTGTGAACATCTGGTCCCCTGCTTCATGGAGGTCACGAAAAGTCAGAGCTCGCAAGCTGAGGTGTGCCTCACGGAGTGTAGGCCAGAGGGCACTGCCGCCAGCTTCGTACTTGCCGTGCTGACGCAAACTGGCAGAGCACTGTTGAAAGCACCATTCCGCTTTGAAGCCTGAGCCGGTGCCACATATATGAGGCAAGCTGACAGAAGCATGCTGCTCATGAAAAGCAACTCTGCAGCCAAATAGCTTGTGCCAAGCCCAACCTGTGAATGCTGCATGTCAGGCATCGGCAGTGGCCCTGCACAGGGCAATGTGCCTGTCAGACGGTTGAGCTCTGCCAGAACCCACCCCACGAGTCCTGGCAAAGTGTCACTGGCACAGCACCCTTCATCCTCTGGCCAAGTCCATTCACTAACACGGCGACGTTTTGTTGCCATTGTCTGACTGAGGATGCCTGAGAAGGGCGTAGTGGCTGCAGAAAACAAAGGCTGAGTTGGGGCCTGGTTCAACTGCTCACGGGCACACGCAAACAGACCCCAAGTGACGTCACTAGGCCCCAGTTTCCATGAAGGGCTGTGCGTCTAAGTGCCAAGGCCTGCAACACAGCAAGGCTCAAGCTATGAACTTGAGACCCTGAGCCTTGGCAACTGGGGCCTAGTTCAAAACCCCTTTGATGCAACCCTAAGTGCGAAGTTCTGCTGTGAGGCAAGCAGCTGCAAAGGCTGCAAACCACCAACGCCTTGGCAGAGGCACCTTTTTCACCCAGCAGGCCCCAAAAAAAAACCTGACTAAATTTTGCAAGTTTAATTTGCACAAGTTCATTCATGGCAATGGCCACATGAACCTCCAATTGACACTGAACAGTCAGCCGTCTCATGATACAAACAATTGGCCAAGGGTTACTCTTGGCTTCTTCGCAGTCAGGCAGGGCTTTTTTGAAGCCGACACACTAAGAGATGTTGGCGCTGACCTCTTCTGTTTCTGAAGCCCTTTGGCAAGTGGCTTCTTTTTGCCTGCTTTCAGCCGCCTGCCAGCTCCGGATTTCTTCTTGACTGCCTTGTCAGGCATTGCCACCAGCACACCCTTTTGGC